GACCGCGATTTATTTGAGATTAAATCTGGGCTGTCCGATCGCGCGCATGCGGATCGCCCACGTGGCTCGTCCCGTGTCAGCGTTTCCTTATCATGCGGCGTGTTCTGGTTGGCCGGGGCTGCTGAACGGGCAGTTGACGTGGCACAACTTTTTCAAATTGCGTTTTGACTCCCGGTTTTCAATTTTCTTTTCAAAAACATCCACATAATCTAAATTTTCACCCATTTTTCCCAAAATCAATTTCAATTAAATCCAAAAAATAATTTTACCATATTTTATCATTATTATTTTTATTAAATTAAATTAAATTGAATTAAAATCTTATAAATTAAATATATAAAAAATTAAACTAAAATTTAAATACAAAAATAAAAATAATATAAAAAAAAAAAAGTAATTTGGGTGTTACAAATTTAATTAGGGAAAAAAGAACTCACCATCTGGATTGAACTATGGTTAATTTTCTGTATTTGATTTTTTTTTTTTGTGGGTTAGCAATAATGGTGGGTACATGATATGATGATAGAACAAGTTCTTGATTACAGTTAGATTCCCCTAATTAATCAAATGATGTTTATGGCATATTAATATGACAAATTGCAAAAGGAATAATATCACACAGCTTTTGCTTAAAGTCACTTTCTCAAATCTTCTTAAGCTACTCAAACATGACCCCCACTTACTCTCATTCTCCTTCAACATCATATCCCAATTAATTTATATTTAATTATCATTCACTTTTAACCTAATTAATTAAAAATAATATCACTAATACGATCATCATCTAGTGGTTAAAATTATTTTTATATTATATTTGAATGTTAAAGTTTAAATCTCATTGAAAATATAAAGTTCATTACTTTATGAGTATATTAACAGTTTATAACTATTGATACGTAATACTTGATTTTGTTGGATCAAAAATTTATTTCATTAGTATATTGATAATGTTATGTTGAACAATTTAAAATAAGTTTCAGCGAATTTATTATATTTTTAAATAAAAAAGTATTTTATAATAATTAAATTTTTTTAATTAACAATAAGAGATTAAAAATCTAACTTAAACAAAAATAAAATATACCAAAAGGGTAATAAAATCTAACAAAATCTAATAAGTTAGGTTTATAGATGGCTTAAACTTGCCACCATATATATATATATATATATATTATGATACAAAGCATGCGAGTATTTTATGAAGTGTTTGATTAATGGGAAAATTTCTTTAAGCAAGAAGAAGGATAAATTATAAAAGTAGAGAGTGACATTACAAGTGCATGCAAAGTAACCTCTTTTGATCTCAATGCACATCTAGTAAAGAAATATTATATATGTATATATCATAGTTATGTATGCTGCACATTTTTGTAGCCGTTATACTATTTCTCCTTGACACTAAATGTACATATGTATATGTAGATATATGATGAGTGAGATCAGTTTAGTTTGGTCCCCAACAACTCAAGAACATAATAATTCTAAGTGATTCTTCAGAGTACTGCTTCTTGGCATAATTCCCTCTTGACTTATTAGAAGAAGAAGAAGAAGAAGATGGTGGAGAGTTATCTGCAGAGTTGATCTTAGCAGAGAGATGGTGACGATGGAGATTGATTGGAGAAGCACAAAATTTCTTCTCATCTTTTGAAACTTCAACAGCCTTAATAGATCCTGCAAATGCCCAAGCTTTGCTCTTCCAACTCATTTCTACCTTCTAACGTAATTCCTCCCTCTATATATATATAAAGGGAATGAACTAGATATTGTCAGATTAAGGTTATATATACAAATATAGAGATAGATATAGATATGTAGAATAGAACACCAAAATGAATCTGAAGTGTGTTTATGGGAACATATATATATATATATATATATAGAGAGAGAGAGAGAGATGAGGGTGATGAGGAAAGCAAAAGTTGTGGGTTTGATAGGATGGTGTGATATACACACATATATATAGAGTGTAGGCCGTGGTTTTGGGTGATACCGAGGGTTTAAGGACCTTTGTTGAGGATTACCAGCGGCCATTTTTGTTGCCTTGTAGCTTTCTCTGCGGAAAAAAGTTGCTACCGTTTTGCCTTTTGTTTTTTAAATATTAACAATGTGAAACGGATTATAAATGTATCTTTTTAATTCGAATCGGACCTGATTGAACGAAAAATATTTAATTTTTCTATTCAGTTTGACTCAAATTTATCGTGTTCGGATCCGATTTTGGACAAATAAAAAACTCATCATAAGTACTATTTTTTATTTGAGTAAGTTTATATATTATTTATTAAATGGTAAATATATATTAGTCTCGAGTTTCAATTTAATAGTTTGAGTAGTATCGGCTCTTAATCAGATCGTTGAGGTTTGTCAAAAGATTGAGCGAAAAGTTAAGAAAAATGGAGAGCAAAATACAAGAAAGAATGAATGAGAAGTTGGAAAAAAACTGATCTGATTTTCAGCATTCATTCAGCTCCTTTTAAATACAAAATAATTATTAACAAGTCAGACAACTATATAACACATTATACACAAACCATATGTTAGATTTACTGAAATACATGTTTTATATATATATATATATATAAAGAATTTTTACATATTCCCAACAACTTGACAACTAAGACAAGTTTTATGTGTACAAAGGTGAAATTTGTGTTGATTTTCAGGAAAGTTACAGTCTTTATTTCAAATACATATATATATATATATAGGTTAACACAAATTAAATGTAAATATTTAAATAAATCCTACAAAATTTATAGTTTATTGTCAATTCCCATATGCTTCATCCCCTTTGGTGTTTTGTTCTTTTTATCTAATACATGAAAATTATTATATGCAATTCCTAAAACTCTTAAACTTGTAATAGGCTATGCAAGGTTTTTAGTGTCTCTAGTTACAGATTTGCAAGGTTAAAGTTTTCAGCAAAATTAGAAACTTGAATTTTGGCATATGATTAACAATTCTACCAACTATATACTCTCTTGAATCCAAAGTTGCAGCCTTTAATTCTCCAACTCTCAATTGAAAAGAAATAGAAGAAGAGAGATAATGGAGAATGGCGAAAACCCAATACACCCACCATTATTTTATCATCATACCGACATTCACACAGATACACGCATACATATATATACATGGATAAAGTAAACTTATTAGTAGAATTGCCTGCTGAGCGGATCAGTGACTGATCTGATGGGGTTTATCTTGTGTGAGTATGGTTGAAACGATGGCAGAGGAAGGCAGCTTCTTCTCCTTCTTCTTTGCTTGAGAAACTGCACTCACCTTGTAATTTTTAGCCTGATTCTGCACGGACCCAGAAAAGCTCTGACCCTGGTGCTTTATTGCCTCCATAGCTCCAATCCCAGCAGCTAAAATCCAAGCTCTTGTTGAATCCATCTCTGTTTCTTCCAAAGGTATTAGATATCTCTTTGCTGATTATATTTTGAGTGGCCTCAATGGACATATTTGGAAAACGAGGAGTGGATAAGTTATTGACCATTCTTCTCTGTCTTCTTCCTCTCTGGGACCAGCTTATATTATGCATCATGACAAAACATATGTACATATATATGTACACCTATCACTTTGATTGCTACTGCTCTGCACCCTGTTTTTCTTTGTAAAAACCCATAGTTTCTTGCTGAGTGAGCCTTTTTTTGTCATGATATGCTCCACCCATAATTCATTATTACATTCCATGAAGCTAGACATGAAAAATCGGCTAAACCCACAACATCTCCACTGATATTTCTTTAGGGATTTTTGTTTGAAGAAAAAAGAGGAAGAAGATAGTAACTTTATTCATCTCAAGGGATGTTCATGGAGGTTTTTTCAAAGTGGGAATTTTTTCTGTTAAAGAGAGAAGTAAAGCAAGTTATTAAAAAGAAAGTAAATCAGGGTTTAAAGCAAAAAATCAGAATATAAGAGTAAATTACACCCTCTGTAATTAATTATATATTTTCTTTTTTGTCCTACAAAACCTGTATATATATAAGACTTAATATTCAACAAAATACACATCAATCACAATCAATTTTTAACATTTTCTTTTTTGGAAAAAGGAGGAAGAAGATGGTAATGTTATTCATCTCAAGGGTGTATATGGAGGTGTTTTCAAAGGGGAAACCTAAACTACTCATAGCATCCATTACCATAGAACAAAAATACTGAAAAATCAGAAAATATTTCCGTAGGGAGAGAAATTCTGGCAATGATTTTAATAAGATTGATAATGTTAATTTGCTGGTTAGAATTTTCAATTCACATCATAAAATCAATATACAAGAATCAAGCTCCAAGCTTTATAGCTTCTCCTTGGCTTCACCAGATTTCCTTTTTCATGAGAAACATGCCATAAAATGGAGAAACTTCAGGTCAATCAGATGAATTGGGTAATTCAATTTGGACCCCAGCAACTCAAGTACATGACTGTCCTAAGGGTATCCTCTGAATTCTTGACTTTCTCCTCTTCCCTAACTTGACTTGATACCATTGCAGCAGATGATGAAGAAGAGAGCTTGTAATTAGACCAAAAGCTTGAATTCCACCTGTAAAATCCTTGGCCTTTCATGGCTTCCACAGCTCCACAACTGCCTGCTCCTGTCCATGCTCTGCTTCTTGAACTCATCTTTCTCTTCTCCACTTCTCTGCCTCTCAGATTTGGTTGATGAATCCAACCCTCTTGGTTTCCTTATTTATAGGGACTTTAGTGACTTTTGGGTAAAGTCACTTTTTAGTAAATATTTATATATATGTATATATATGCAACTAAAATACTAAATCTTGTAGACTTAAAGAAAAAAGGAGCATAAGATAAAATATTCATTTTAGAAGATCTCAAATTGATATGGGGAATTTTTTTAGGAGATGCAGGAAGATTTCCAAGAAGGACTATGGTGGATGAATCTACTTTGGTGTTATAGTGCTATCTTTATAATAATCCCACTCTTCAACAGAACACCTGGTTTAGCCTCTAATTATTCATTAAATAATAATTAAATTTTAATAATTGAATGTTCTTGGATGAACCAACCAGGTGAATCCAGCAAAAGTTATAGTCTTTCATTTTTTGCCCACTAATTTTAAATTTTTCCTTCAAATATATACCCTAAATCATTTGTTAAATTGATCAGTAAACCAGAAACAGAGATAAAGAAGGCCTGTAATTCAGAGCTCTGCTCTCTGTACAGTTCGTGTACAATTTAAATTCCCATCAGAAAACAAAGAGTTGTCTTCCTCAAAATTTCCATCAGAAAACAAAGAGTAAGAAAAGATTATCAAAAACCTATTTACATTTGATTTATGTACAGTTCATGTACAATTTAGAGAGACCCATTAAAGAAAAAGAGACATCCAAACATTCTCAAGCTGTATTCCCTGCAAAATTACATGGTAGTGGAAGATTTTCATTTTCCTGGTGTGCTAATATGGACCCCAACAGCTCAAATACATGACATTCCGAAGAGACTCTTCAGATTCTCTGCTCTTATCTTCATTCTGTTTGGTTGAAGTGAAAACAGAGTAACAAGAAGAAGAAGAAGAAGAAGAAGAAGAGAGCTCGTTGGTCTGAGAAATGGAACTGGGTTTTTTTCTGGCGAGTTGATGGAGTGATCTGATGGAATGATTCCAGTGGAAAAAATCTTGGTCTTTCATGGCCTCCACAATCCATGCTCTGCTTTCTGAACTCATTTTTATCTCTCTTGTCTGCTTAAAACGCTCTGCAACTGGAGGAGATTGAATGAAGGAGGAAGGGGGATGTCGTTTTAAAAGATTAGAGTGTCGTTTTGGAGTCTTGTTGAGAAGGACACGAGTGCAAATGGTTTTGTGAAAACTGGAGGCAGTTTTAAATTTTACCCTTTTATTTGATTTTTTAAATTATTTTTATAATAATTATTTTTTTTTAAATAGCATTCGTTTTCGTACTCACTCAAAATCTTACAATTAAATAAATTAAAATTGTATTAAAAGAATATAATGTAACATAATAATTTTATATAAAATAATACGAAATTATAAAAAATAAATAATTTAAATTAAAATAATATCAAAATAAGTATGATTAAACTATAATTCTTTTTTTTTTTTCTTTCTTATTTACGAAATCCTAAAATGGAAAATAGCAGCAGGCCCATCGATTTAAGCCCACAACAAGCCCTTGTATATTAAAATACCATGTGCGACGTCGTTTTCGAGGTTGCTAAAACCAGAAGGATTAAATTCTGCCGAACAGCCGCTGGTTGGTTGCTTCGCCATAAAATGAACACTAAAATTCCCAGCTCTCTTCTGCTACAAATGGAAATTAGCAGAGAAAAATGAGTTTAATCTAGTCGATCAAGGTGTATATAAGAGAATTCAAGGCCTGAAGCACCCGATCTCCCGGCGTTCAATGGGCGGATTCAAGACTCCTCTGGCCGAACGGGCTGAATCCGGCAAGCCTTATCAGGGGATGCAGGTTACTGACAGTAAAGTACAGCAAGCAGAGAAGAAGACTGCAGTAGCCATTGATAATAAAATCAAGCACAGGGAAAATGAGAAGGTTGAGATTCTCAAACACATCATCTGGTGGGGACCTACTCTCTCCTGATCCTTTTTCGGTGACTACAATAGAGATGAACAGGAAAAATCACCTGAACTTTATAGCTAAATTTCTGGGGTTTCTGATGATTTTGTTTACTGTGTTTTATGATCATAGTGATGTTAAATGTTTTAATCCTTTCCCAGTTCATAATTTTGGGAATTGATTGAAATTTATGAAAATATACCTTTTGGTAATTCTTTTAAGAGGTTACTTGGATAGACATGGAGATTTATTTTGATTCATAAACTCAATGGGTGCCTTCTTCTTCTTTACTTTTTTCTGATTAGCTTTGATTCATAAACTTCTCTACATTGAGATTGAATTCACATTGATCACTGGAGATTTACCTCCTACAAGCAAACTCTCCCCATTTTTGCTCTTTAACTCTCTCCAGATGAGTTTAGGGTAGCATAAGAAGGATTTAAGATGGGTGATCCCAGATTTCAAAGGCTCTAGGATTAGAACCTGACTAAAATGAAAAATCAAGCCTTTTCAGGCCAAACCCATATCAGATTCAATGATTCTAGCTGGGGTCTGAAGTGGTATAGATAAACAAGAAGACTAATATAAACTGGTTTCCTGGAAAGAATTTTGAAATACTAATAAACATTTCCTAGTGGTGAAAATAAACAGAACATTCAATAACATACGTTAGGGGGCTATTATACATTTTCCATAGATATGTACATTAAGCTGGTCCTTTGTGTCTTGGACTCTTAGCTTGAAAGAAACGTAGAAAATACAACATGAGATTTCAAGGTGCAAAAAAATTAGAACTTGGGTTTTGCATCAATTAGGACCCCAGCAACTCAAGTACATGACAGTCCTGAGAGATTCCTCATTGTGCTGTTTAAGCCTGTTGTCACTTGATCTAGCTTTGGGTGGCTTGTCAAAGTCTTTTGGATAAAAAGCTCCTGAGATTCTTGTCACTTGGTTAGTAGCACAAGAAGGAGAAGTGGTGCAGTTGGCAGAATCATTAAGAGATTTGGGAGCTTGGTCTTTAATTCCTTGCTTAACCTGTGATGTTACTTGATAGAATTCCCTGCTCATGTTCCTTGAGTTCATTTTCATAAAGATCCAAAAGCAAATGCTTCTCTTCAGGTGTATATGTTGTATGTGTGCTTATACAGATTGGTAAAATATTACAGGAGAGGAAGAAGAGGAGAAAAGAGTTTTCTGGTTAAGAACCAAAAGTTTTGGCCTAAATTTGGGGTTGACTTGTAGTATGCTGTGCAGGAAGAAAGTGAAGTAATGAAGTTTCTGGGTTTTTGATCTGCTGTTTTGGGTGCATGAGAAGTGAGGAAGAATAATTGGATATGAGGTTGGTATATATAGAGATGGTAAAGTAAACAATCAGTAAGCCATTGTACATATTACTGATGTTATATTGTTATCAATTATTATATGGTTACTGTCATTAATGATATTAATATTTGATTTGCCACTGAAAACATATGATACATAGATGTAATTATATGTAAAAAAGTATATATATTTATATATACATTCATCGGAAAGAAGTGCCTTTGATATATTCTAATGGAACTTTTAAATATTCCATCTCCTAGTTTTCTATTGTGGAAATCGTGAAAAGAAATATTTGGTTAAATCTTGTTTTAGAGGGCTTGGCAGGATCCTAAATATTTTATGTTTTGGCATATTATCAGATTGGAGAACATGACACCAAGAAATGATAGAAAAGGTTCTAATAACTAGTTAGCACTGAAGAAAGGAAAATGAAAGTAAAATTTAATTGGTGTAATAATATCTAAAATTTATAACTTTGAATCTCGATATAGATATTTTCATTTTACGAGTGTATTAGAGATTAATAGTAAGTTGCGTATAACATTTAATACAATAGAAATAAAGACTTACCTCAAGTAAGAATATTATATGAAAAAAAGACACCCACTAGGGATGCCATAGGCAAAATTACCTCAGTGACTAGATTCCATGGCAAAGATGAGGAAATGACTCAAAGAAACAAAAAATTATTGGTTGCTTTACCAATCTTCTGAAAGAAGGTAAGAGAAGAGATGGGTTGATAGCTGCAGAGCATTCATGGAGTTTTATAATACAAATTAGATTAAATTAAGATTAGTGGTTAAGATTTTTGGAGATCTTGAATGATAGTTGTCGTGTTAGCCAAAGTAGTCCAGAAATATTGGAGCAGAAAGCATATATGCACATGAACTGATGGACAGCATAGACACGTTTTAGATAAGATCGACACATAACCCTTCTTTTAAACTTGCATTTTACTACTACTTCTTTTCTCTCTCTTTTACACTTTTTTTTTTTTTGTTGAAGGGTATGAACATGATGGATTTAGTAGACAAATACCCATTTTTTAATTTTCAGAGAATCTTTTAGGGTTTTTTTTTTTTTTTTTTGGGTAGAGAGGATAATATATAGATATATATATATATATATATATATTCATTTTCTTAAACAATATTCAAGGAAGTTCTTAGTAAGTGAAGATTAAAGATTCTAGGTACTTACTTGGGTAAATTTATTTTATGTAGTAATTGATCTTTATTTTGAAAAATAATAAAAATAGTTGTTTGCAATATAATTTAAAAACATATTCGTAATATATTAGTGGTTTTATTTTATTTTTTTATTTTATTCTTATAAAATTTGAAAACTAAAATATAATATATTATTGATATTATGTTAACATTTATGTTAATAAATTAAATTTATATAAAAATAAAGTAATAACATGTAACAGTTTGAATCTCAATGTCGGTGAGTACGGACGTTAACACAATATTTTTAACTGATAGAACATATAAATATTAAATATACAGCCGAACTACACTTTAATATACATATGTTATGATGGATAATTATTTGTTTGTACATAATTAAGGTATCTAAATTAATTTATAAATATAAAATAAAAACTAACAAGGTTTTGTTCACCATCTTCTATTAATCTTGGACTTGTTTCTCACTTCTCTAACCTGAATGATAGTGAATTGGAGTGAGCTTCATGAGCTCAGTAAGAAAAAAAAAATTTATAACGGAGACTTACGTACATACGTTCGTGCAATATATAAAATAAAATAATATTTATAATTAAAAAAATATCAAACAAAGCATCTCAATCAAAATACACAACAAAATAAATCATTACACGAAACATATTCTAATCCTCACTCTTATAACCTTATTCTTATTCTCCTTTCAAATCACAATCATACTCGAAATATCACAATACACTCAGAATATCATATATAAGGTTTTATCGCGCGATGTTGTTTATATTGTCATTGATGAGAGACAACATAGATCACCTCATCGCATGAATAACACATACACATAAATTTCACAATTGACACAACATGTACGTTTGCTAAGTGACCAACACTCACAAATATCTATTCACGTCGAGACTAGACTTCAAACTCTATCCATGTGCAGGTTCACCGTGACCGCTGAACTTTATCCACACACGCACCCTCCCCTCCTCGATTCGGATTAAACGAATACGTATCTAGGATTCTTACATTTTACACTCTTTCTAAATGTCTTTTATTCCTAATTCACTCATTTCATAGATAAGATCTCAATTTCTATGCATAATTAAATACAAACATATAGACAGTACACAATATCATCACGCACATCAAAATCATATATTTCCAAATTACTTTCTGAATCATCCTGTACCAGATGACACAGCAAGCACATGATACTCAAATTTCTCACGCAACTGTACCAGATCACATGTCAAGTACAACGTATCGTACAATTACACCAGATCACACAACTAGTACAGTGTACCTAATTTCACACGTACACACTGGTTATATATTTTATATATATAAAATATGTACATACATATTAATACACACGCATATATATTACAATGTAGAATGTATCTTCAGTACATGTCTCAAACAGAATATATATTTATATTCACACATACACACACAAATTTCTATACATACATATGCACACATTTATACTCAAATACTTATACACAATCACAGACAACGTACCATATATATATATATATATATTTTCATGCATTTGTTCTTATCAATTTATATACCATTTATCGTTTATTTGTATACATATACACACACATACATAACAATGTATATATATATATACACACTATATAAACACACACAAATATATATTTATATTACATTACACATACATTTAAATATTCACACAAAATGCACTATAGATGTACACATTTACATAAACATATAATTTATGTCTCTGAACAGAATACACATAATCTTTACTTATGGTGTGATCATGAAAATTTTAAAAATCATTTCTATCACGATTTACGATTTTTTCGAAAATTCGAATACCATTTGAATAATTTTTTTCATTTATAATAGAAAACACATTAAATTATGAATAATTTTAAAAACTATATTACCCTAAATGAGAAACGAATTTTACTTTAGAATACGCCGTCTCGATCGCTAGCATCACCATGCGTCATCATACACCTGTCACTGAAAATATCAGACGTTAACAATCGAATTAACGTGCGTTGTCGTATGGTGCGCACTAAAATCATATTGTTCGCCACACTTCTATTTTTTCTTCGTTCATTTTATTTCTTTTTTCTTTCCCTTTTTTTTTTACCATTTCGTCTTCTTCTTCCTTCTTCTTTCTTCTTTCTTCTTTCTTCTTTCTTCTTTCTTTCTCTCGTTACCCACCGTGTGTCTTCTTTCTCTCTCCAACAGATGGTGATTCTTCTCCTCTTTCTTTCTCCTTTGATTGCGGCGTCGCGCAACACCGTGCGACCCTTCTGTCTCTCCCGTCGATGCCGCTCGGCACTCTCTCTTCTCTATATATATATTTTTTTTCTTCCTTTCTTTTCTTTTTCTGTTACTTAATTATATATATATATATATATATATTATATGGCCACGTGTTTTCTTCCTCTACTCCCAAGAGTACACTTTGGGTCCTTCTTTTCTTTCTTTCTTTAGTTTTTTTTTTCTTTTGTTTAATTGTATATATACATATACACACACATATATATATTCCATAGTTTTTTTTTGGTACCCAGCTGAGTATTACATAACTTTTACGTAGAAGTTACAATATTCTCTACACGAAATATAACACCACAAAAATAAGTAGATATATGATGTATAAAGTAATTAAAAAATATATTATTATAGGTTGCTAACACCATTCAATACGGTCAACTCTTAACTAAACTACTTTATACATACTAACTTTCTGACTTTATACTAAACAAATAATGTTTGCCTCTAGATACTTAAAATTATTTTCGACTAATTAGAATATATCACCCGATAATACAAGATTTTTTAAATTAAAAACATCTTATTATTTTATGATAAATTAATCTACGAAAATTTTAAGATCGAGGGTATTCGTTCAAATACTCAAATTATTAATAACAATTACGATGTTTGAGATTATTGGTTGCCGAAATTGAAACTATTTTTTGAATTTTGTTTTCGGAACAACCTTTTTTAGTTGAGACCAAATGTATTATTTCGTACTAGATAGTCAAATATAAATATATATATAATTTATTGGTCATATATATTATTATCTTATTGGATAAAGTTTACTCTTTAATGGTAACATTTCTTTTACATATCAAATTGAAATATTACTCCAAACTACTAATAATATAGTTACTTTTTGTGACAATCAAATGGCATCTTATCTAGCAGGAAAAGATGGAGATAATTACTTATATTTTATAAATTTATAAAATTAATTTTTATTTACTCAAACAATTCTGCTGAAACGTCGCCGTACCGACAGGTAAGTTTGGGCCAATTTATTGGAAATAACCGTACCCATTAACCCGACCCGTTACTGTCACTCGTTTTCTTCTCAACAAACCTTACCACACGCACACACTGGG